TCGTAGTCCACGGATTCGAGGCCGGCAATCATTCTCGTAGCGGCTCGCTGGGCACGCTCAATGAGGATTACGTCTTTCGTGCATCCTGAGTAGACAACTTGGTTGGCGTATTCCAGTTTATTCAAGTTTATATTCAAGTTTATATGAAGAGAGTAGAAAATGGGGAAAATGTAACATTGATTTGCAAAACACCACGAGCGGTCTGACGTAGGCCCCATGGAGTTTTCGGGAGTCCATGCGAGTAATACGGGAGAAGGTGCGTCGGATCATCCGTAAAATGGCGAATGCCCTCTGGGCCGATTTCTCATGGTGCAGTAAGAAGCGCAAGTTTGAGGGGACCCAGATGCCCAAATCCTTTTTGTCATTTATCCTCATGATGTTTTCTGGTCCTTTCTCACGGGTAAGGCATTTATCCTGAAAAGGAAGGCTGCGTTAATCGCCGCGGAAGCAGAAAACAAACCAGCACTATGAGAATATACATGAAATACGGAAATGGTTCTTAAACGGATGGAGTGCCAGTGTATCCGTTGAACTGTTTTATTTTATTGCATCAAGTGTGCGAACTGTTCGGTTTCGGTTTCAAATTTGAATTAACTATTTTCGCCCGAGGCCGACGTCCAGTGGTCACCCGTCGTCCGCCAGCTAAAGATCCAGATGGCACAAAAGTTTCTAGAACCCTTTAGAAAATTGCCTCATCAAATACAAAACTTGCACCTTATTCAAAAGTTACAAGGACTTACTTTGAGTCGTGGTTCGGAAGCCTTCGGCCTTAATCTGGTAAGTTTTGACGTTTCTGGTTCACTCTTCAGCCGTCTGCTTATGGTTGTGTCGACTCGCCTTCAGCGATCGCATTCGATGAAAAGCTCGGTTTGTTCGCTGTCGCATCAAAAACTGGGTGCATCAAGGTGTAAGTGCGGTTGTTGTTTGCGAGCTCTACTTTCAGTTATGGTACACCAGGGGTAGTTTTAACTGTCAAAGCGGCCGGATGTGCTGTTTTGCTTCTCAGTTTCATTCCAGAAGAAGTAAGATCTAGTTTCCCTCTTGCTTACGATTACAGGGCCGGCTTTTGGCGGCGCTGGAAACGGGATATGTATCGCTGTACGAACTGAACCCCAAAAACGGGCATTGGGTTGAGTGCGCCCATGTGCGTGTACTCTTTTCGTAAGTCCATTGTTATGTTTCGGGATTGGTTTGCGATGCTCACTGCGATACAAAGTTCAACGGAATCTCGGAGCTTCTTGTTCGGTTGGCTGGATGGAAAGCGACAACGGCCATTTTTAGCTATCCGGTTGAGTTTCTCAGTCACGTCTTGTTTCCAGTTTACGGGATTTAAACATGCTGGACCTGTTCCTGGATTGCATTAAATGCGCTGAACAAATTCATGACCTGAGCATATCTGAGGACGCTTTTGAGATGTCAGACAGCAAGCTATCCGAAAGTTTCCCTTACTAAACATTATGTTGAGTATTTGTGCAAACTCCTACTGGTGCCTTCTGCTACGTGCAATGGTTGAAGAATTGTGGGGAACGGAATTAAACGGGAGAGCTGTGTCGTATAGTGGTGAAGGTAAGCCACGATGAATGTAGCCTGCATGGGTTGCGAAATCACTCGATGATCAGCCGTTGGACGCATTTTCAGTCTTTCCGTCCGGAAGTGATAAAGGTCCGTGGACATACTGACAATCCGAGGTAGAAGACTCATTAAGTCTAAATTGCAAGATAACCTCTGGTTGCGTGGCAGACGGCGGGGTCCAAAGTTTGGAGGTCCGTACTACTCCAGGTGTTTCATTGCTGTTGCTGAAAATCTCACCCAAAGTCGTCTTTATTGCAATCACAATATTCAATCAACAACACCCATACGGGCGCAGTGTGACGAGCCCCCCTCAAGTACGAGCCAATCTTTGGGAAAAGCGGTGAACGAATTGGTCATGGTACGGTAGTGAAGCATCGGTGTTGAACACGGATGTCATGCTGTCGATCATGATGATGAATTGATCATGGTTTCATGTGAGAAAAGCTTGAGCTCTGTCTGTTGAAATGCTGGGAAACTGATTTTATGAATCCTGTAAAGCGTCACAACACTAACCTTCGTGTTTACCCTGATGGCTGCCAGTTTTTTGTCTGGTGTTATCCGGTTGTCTTCGAACGCTTATGCAGTGAAATGTTACATAAGTGCGCACTTGTAGGTGAATCAGAATCACGTGCAACAAATAAAACTCGCCATTTCTGGTTTGTTGGGGTGTGCATTACCACCGTCCGTCAAAAAAGCAATTTTTCTTAGAATTCTTGGTGATGAAAGGCGTGTGTGGAACAGGCTGTAGCTTGACGCAAAATGGAAGTGGCTATTATGAAACTTCTATGTGGTCTTCACGTACTCCTGTCCGGACCCAATTGATCCTGCTCGCTGCTAGTCTGAAACTGTCCAGGAATCGGTGCGCAACCGATCACAATGGTGCACGGACTGCCTGGCTAAAGTTCTTCCGTTGTGCGCTGGTCTCATGTCGGCTGAGGTTCACAATTACTGGAAGGATCCTGCTGATGGCGGCTTACTTTGGTAGACACACATGTGTCGATTTTCATGTACAATGATCTAGGAACCTTCCTCTCCTGAAGGATTTAGTATTTTCGCAATCTTTGTCTCCTTCCTCCGTTCTGCTTCTTATTGAAGCTTGCTTTCCTCATGAATGAATGGAAGTTTAACACCAGTATTACTGTTTTATTGTCGGTGGTTTTCAAGACTACAGAGCATGGAACCTAATATGTTGGACTCTGTTGGATGCTGGGCTCAAGTTGAGTGTACTTCGTCGAGTGTACGTCGAGTTAATCCCGCTGATGGCCCATTCCGTTACGATGGTCGGGCGTGTTTATCTCGTTTCTCTTCCGAGGGGGTGACCACTGATCATTTTCCATGGAAGCGAAGTTGTTACCGCCTGCACTCTTCCATTCTCCATTCTGTACTCAGACCTTCTCTTTAGTAAGTCTGACAGTTTAGCACCAGTATTTACTGCTGTAGCGTTGCTAACCATAGCGATGGATGCGATCTATCCGGAAGTGATAGATTCCAAAACGTCATGCAGCTTACAAGCTGGCTAAGGAGGTGAAGTTCTCAGATACGACAAGCTATCGCACACAGCAAGCGGCCATCCAGAATCACTGCTATACCGACTGATGACCATCATGATAGCTTCGTCAAATTTTTCTGAATGTGTGGAGCTGCTTCTCTTGTGACAAGCTTCCGTGGGGCGAATCGCTGCTCAACCCAATCTGCGCGCCGCAGCTTGTGAAATCACTTGACGCTATCGACGGTTTCTCCTGATTGCACTAACACTTCCAAAACCCAATCACTAGCAGCTTGATCCTCCTCTACATGTCTTAATTGTACTCAACCTCTTGAGGCAAGTCCTCGTTAAAACGACCTCAGTATAGAGATCGACCAGCCGGACACTAATGACCCTCTGGCAGTAATCTGTCCATTCTGAGGTGCCGGAATGTCTCCACCCTTTTTCGCAATTCCGTAGTGGTGGTTGATCGGCTTGTGACAAATGTCCGCCGTAAGCTTGAACTTGATTGCCAAAAGCTTGACCATTCTTATTAACCCCTTTAATGAGTTCGCTCCTGCGCCGGACTGCACGAGGTGAGTTTATGTAGGCTTTATGTACATCGGTGAGATTGCATGTGCATTCCGCACCACAGCGGTTGGGTCCGGAGTAAGGCCACAGGAAGAATGTCGGACACGTGGGTGACTGGGAAGACCAGTTTTTTATTCGGGAAATCGTCCTTAGTGAATGCATTGCCGTCCGGCCGTATACTGCTCATTGAAAAACCCTTGTGAAAGCCACTGTAGCTGATAATAGCAGCAGGTCCGCTATCAGCGTAGTTCTAGGTTTCACCTAGATTAGCAGAGATAAACGAGCAGCTAGCACTGGTGTTTCCGCCAAAAAGTAAAGGGTAATGAGTGAGTGCATCCTTTGCCGAATACTGAGAGCAGAGTCCCGTGAACCACTGTTCCATTGAGACTAATGTTTTTGCATATGGTGTGGTTTCTCTACCTATGGTTTACTATGTGAATTCATTTTGAAGTACTGCTTTTTATCGTCTGTTTCATAAATCATCATCATCA